GGTGGGCCCTATCCTCAAGGCATACTTACACTAGGACTTTTTCAACTCAGCTCTGGACATGATTCCAGACAGATGCATCCAGCTGCATTCCGCTTAGGCCATAATTGCGGTCAGATACACTTGTGCTAGTGTGAGTATGCCTATCTTTTGGTTTCCAATCCAACAGTCACATGTATCTACTGACTGCGGCCCCTCAATATCTTCTCTCCTCATCTTTGCTCTGCTCTGCTCTGCTGTTTTCTGTGGGGGGGGTCAGCTCTGGACATGATTCCAGCCAGATGCATCCAGCTGCATTCCACTTCGGCCATAATTGCGGTCAGGATACACTTGTGCTAGTGTGAGTATGCCTATCTTTTGGTTTCCAATCCAACAGTCACATGCATCTACTGACTGCGGCCCCTCAATCTCTTCTCTCCTCTTCTTTGCTCTGCTCTGCTCTGCTGTTTTCTGTGGGGGTGGGCCCATACGTACACTAGGACTTCCTCAACTCAGCACTGAACACAATTCCAGTCAGATGCATCCAGCTGCATCCCGCTTCGGCCATAATTGCAGTCAGATACACTTAGAAAACTGCTAGTGTGAGTATGCCCTCACTGTGTCCTACAGGACTCAAAATTTCATACTTTGGGATCCACTCATTGACAGTTAAATAAACTTATGGGCCTCGCTCCACTGCATAACTTTTTCTTCTTTCTTTTATTTTTTGGCTTGACTGTATAACTAACTAATTCAATATTTTGAATGTATCGGGACCATTATCGGGCCACATACATGCAGAATTTTGCGTAGTGCTCAGAGGCCGTATATACCAAGTCCTGCTTGTGTGTACCACTCAGCCCTGGGGGTTATGAGATACTTAGATCTTACAATTCTCTAGTTGCGGAGAAAAAGATAGGAAAGATAACTGCCTGACAACTTCATGTACATTGGGAGTGAGGACACGTGGAAAGTGGAAACATACACGGATGCACAGAGCCTGCGTCTTGATGTGCGTTCATTGTGGAATTGAATATTGTGCCAGTGGTCTGCGTACTTTTTTTTTTTTTTTTTCCCTGACAGTTGCTTAAGATACAGAGACTTATTACAATGACCGGACAGTTTTTCTTCTTTCTTTTTTTTTTAAGTAGAAACAACACAAGGAGCAATGGTGGGCGGAAGAGCGGATGATCATTCAAATTTTTAAATTTGAAACTAATGATGGGCGGAAGAGCGGATTATCATCTTCTCTGCTGAAGTGGGATGCTGGGCCCACTTTATTCGTGCTCGCTGTCAATAGCGGGCCCGAGACTTGAGAATCCACGCGGCAGTAGATTGCATCAGGAGGCTGCGGAAATTCAGGCAAGGACCTAAACCTTCAGGAGACAATTCAATTAAAGTCGAGATTGTGGGAACTGGGGAAATAACTCCACCGTGGTAGCACGTGACGCTCCCCACAAAAATAGAATGGTGTAATGACTAAGAAAACTGCTTTTTTCTGAGTTTTGCCCCTGGATTGTGTGAACTGCTGAGATTCCCGCATTCTGCTGAGATTTCAAAGTACAGCGCCCTGGTACTTCCAGAGAGTCGCGGCAGCATGCACGCCGCGACTTAGGCTGGGGAACGTACTGGTGGTTGAAGGGAACTCTAAGCCATAGACGAATTCGTAAAAATACTAAAAAAGGCTAGAAATATAATATTTTGTGGACAACCCACAAAGAATGAAAAGAGCATGTGAAGAAATAAATGAGGGACTACTGAGGGCATGCTCACACTAGCTCTATCTTAAACCACCAGTACCTCGCCCAGCTATCAAGCCCGAGGCTCGGCCTACCGGTAGCCCGATCATTGCCGAGCCTCGACATACTGGCAGTACGTTATTCAAAAAAAAAAAGAGGAAAAAATACGAAAAACAGACAAGTTGAAAGTTGAAAAACATTCTGCAAAAAAGGAAAGAAGAGGGGGGAAAAAATAGACGTCATTTCTGTCCACACCCGCGGAAGGGGGGGGGGGAACAGACACAAACACAGAGAGAGAGAGAGACGCATATCTTGCACGACGAATTCGCAAAACAAAAATGAATCCCCCTGCAATTTCGCAGAAGATTCATTCTCATTTTAGAGAGGGCGAGACTTCCGGCCCGTGCAGTGTGCCAGGAGTCTCGCCTTCCCGTGCAGTGTGCCGGGAGTCTCGCCCGCCCTCTCTCTCTCTCTCTCTCTCTCTCTCTCTCTCTCTCTCTCTCTCTCTCTCTC